TATTTGGAGAGTTAAAATCTGTGCATTCTTTGTTTTCTAAAGTCGTTGCATGATCTCATTATTCTTTGCTTGGTTGCTACTTAGAAGGCGTTTCATCATATAGTTCCAAATGCTAGAACTCATGCCCATTTCATTCAAAGCATGTTATTGATTTGCATAACACATATTCAAGAAGAAGTTGTGTAGTGACCACCACCAAAGCCAAATTGCCATATTTCCCAATTTTATTTGTGTTGTAACTTTTACCCCCGTTGAGCTTTGTTTAGCCTTTATTCTTTGTCAACCCACATTATCCTCACCTAGCCTAGTTTAGGACAATCCACACCCTTGTTCTTAAAAGATAGTGAGCATAACTTAAATGAATTCCTTTTGAGTTACATTATGCAAGAAAATTAGTGTGAGGGAAGGAATGCTTGTTCTTAAGTATGTTTTGAGTTTCAAACAGAAAAGAAAAACAGAAAAGAAAGAAAAAAAGAAAAAAAAAAAAAAAAAAAAAAAAAAAAAAAAAAAAAAAAATGAAAGAATGAGTGATTGAAGAAAGGGCTCAAAACACCAATTCTGGCCCTAAATTGTCTCCCTTTTTGTTCCAAAGTTGAGTTTTCATTCAAAAGTGAATTCTAAGTTGATTCAATTGCCTTGCTCACTATTTCTTTAAGAACCTTTGTTTTCCATATCCCTTCTTTGTTATCCACACGCCCCAAGCCCCATTACAACCCGTGACTTTAATCTTGAGTGTTATGTATTTCAATTGTGGAGTTTGATTTTGGTATGAGCATATGGTGTCACTGGTTCTCGCGTCTAAGTAGTAGCATTCCATTCATGAGATCATATCTAAACATGCTTATTAACTCCAGAAATTGCGTTCTTTGTGATACATATATGTGAGTGTTCGTTTTCATGTTTACATCAATCTTCTCACATACGACTAGATTAGGGTGTGTAGTTAGAAATTCTGAGTGAAAATTGAGTGCATATCTTGTAAGGAATTGAGCAAATTCTCTAAGGCATGTTACTACATTCAAAACATGGTTTTAAATGCTTAATTGTGAACTAAGTATGTGGTGACTATGATTAAGAATGTACTTAAGTGTGAAGATGACTAAAATCTGTGGGAATGATGATTTTTAACATGTCATGTGCATTGGAAATCCCTAAGACAGTTGTTGGAAGGTTTAGGTTGTGTTTTACTTGTTTTGTTTCGTTTCGTTTTGTTTTGTTTTTCTTTCTGTTTTGCTCGAGGACTAGCAAAAGATAAGTGTGGGGGTATTTGATAGGAGCATATTCATGCGACTTAAATGGCTTGTTCTCGTGCATTTACGTTATGTTTCTTTAGTTATTTTAGTTCTTTATGCTTCTTTTGTGTGTTTTCAGGATTATAAGACGTGTTTGACGAAAGGATGCATTGTGGAATGTTTTGGGGCCTTTTTGGAGCACTATTGGGCTAAGGATGGATAGCTTATTCTTGGAGCCCAAGTGTTAGATGAAATTGAAGGCCTTGTATGCACTTGAGGACACAAAACAATGGCCCTAACCCAATTACAATCATATTGCCATGGGCTTAACACAAACACCATTCCTTGCCATGCAAGGGGGAGCAATTTGGGTCCATTTCATGCACTTAAACCCTAGCCCAATTACATACCATTGCAGCCAAATCCATTCTTTGTCATGCACATTCACCACCAATTCAACCACATGCACTTATTCCTCCATCATTACACACCATTGCAGCCACATGCACAAAACACCATCCTTGCCGTCCAAACACATGCATTTCCCTTGCCATTTTCAACCATCACACTTCATCATTGCAGCCACCATCCATCCTAGTTGTCAATCACATACTTTCCCATTATATAATTCATCCACATGCATCTTTAACCAACAAACAAATCAGCCACAATGCACCAAAACATCCCATGCCGTGACTTCCTAGCCAATTCCAGCTTTTCTCTTTACAATTCACATGCATTCCATACTTTTCCTAGCTGTTTTCCATCATTATTTCAGCCACCATTCACCCTTTATTTCACATACACTTCACACAAACAACATTCACATGCATTCACATGCATTTCCAACACAAAATACACTCAAAACCGTGGCCACCTTTGCATTTTCAGATTTCCAGCTTTCCAACCTTTACAATTCACATGCATTCATTCATAATCATTCACCAAACATTCAGCCACATTTCCACCCACCTCCTAGCTGTCATGTTCCCTCCATTACTCCTATAAATACCCTTGCATTCATTCATTCATTTTTCATTCCATTCACAACACAACACACAACACAAACACACATCCCTTGCCGTGCATACCCTTCCATTTCTGTGCAGTTTTTCTCCTCCATTGCAGCCATTATCCAACCACTTCCCATCCCTCCAAAACACTTCATACCATCACACAACCTATCCTTAAACCTTGTGCTACAACAACGAGGAAGAGAAGAGTGCCTAAACGTTCATACAATTCAAGTTTGAGTTGTTGGAATGTTTAGGTGTTTCTTTGATTTCAAAGTTTCATTTTAATTCTCTTTGTTTTGTATGTATGGAAGAGAAGAGTGCTTAAACGTTCATACAATTCAAGCTTTGAGTTGTTGGAATGTTTAGGTGTTTCTTTGATTTCAAGGTTATGAGGAACTAAACCCCCTTTAGGTAGGGGGTGATTCGAAACTATGTTTATATTTGCAATATGAATTGATTAACTTTCGTTGGAATTTCATAAGTTGTGGATTCAATTTGTTTAACCGTTTGATTGATAGCTTATTTATGAATGTTTATTAAGAATGCGCGCTTAATTTTCATGCATAAATATGACGCTAGAATATAAGTGAATTTCACCTAATCGTTATGAACTTATATTCACAAGTAGTGGAGGTTGCTTATAAACAATCGTGTTAAACATATTCTTGGCACGAGTTTCATGCTCATCATAGTAACGAATGCCTCGTCAACACTTATAGTTTTCATAATGCTTAATGATCTTTGATTGTATCTTTATTGTGCTGTTCACGTAAAGGACTTTTGGAGAATGTTGTGAATTGCGTTGCGCAAACCCATCCAATTCATTAACTTAAGGAAAACTTGACGGTTAATTTAAGCGGACCTAATTAATCCGGAGTGTTGAGTATCATGATTTATCGAAAGACCAACTGAGAATCAATCTTGTACGCAAGTATAACATGTGTGGAGAAGAACCCCTTAGCTAGCCTTCATTCCATTCATTCCATCACAATTTCATATTTACATTCCGCTTAGTTTGTTAACTTGCTTTGTTATTTCAATTTCCGTCAAATCCATATTTACAATTTGTTTTATTTTCAAGTTTCCATTTTTAGTTTAAAATCATCCAAATCCAATCCCCCTTTACTTTATTGTTCAAATTAGTTAGAAACCAATTTAGTTCGTGTTTTTAATGCATTTTGAGTCTTTTGGTTTGTCTTAGTGTTTTAACGTTTAGTTTCACATTCTTTGAATCTAGTTTAGTGTTTTATCTTGTTTTTACATTTTTGAGTCAGTTTCCAAGGTTTTAGCAATCCCTCCTAATCCCCGGTCCAGAACGATCCCTACTTATATCCATACTACAATTGTCAAAAAGAGGGTTTAATTTGTGTGTGTATAAATCTCGCATCATGTACCGCCCAGGCATGGACATCGCTGGATTCTGATGTGGCAGGTAATGAGCAAGTGTTTACTCTTGAGCTCGACGAGGACGACGACGGGTTTTTGGTGGCAGAGAATCCGAGCTTCAGAATTCTCGACGGCATGAGGCATAGTAGCTTCGTGAGGAGGATAGGGAGTTCGTGGTATTGGGAAGAAAAAGTGGCGACCTTTCGTCAATTTCCGGGCCACCGAAGAAAGAGAGATGAGAAATGAAAGATAAGAGAGAGGATGTTGGATGAAGGTTGGGGGGATGGGTAGGAAGGGTGGGAAGGGTTTCTAGGTTTTGGGGATGCTGCTATCCAGAGAGCGAAGAGAGAAAGGTGAGAGAGGAGAAAGGCGTGAAAAAGGGGAGAGAAAGATAGAGGGTGGATCCCACAATTTTATATAAAAAAATAATTTTATTTTTAATTTTATAATATTTAATTATTTTTTAATCTAGTTGGACTAAGGAGGAGCCCATCTTAAGCCACATCAGCATTTAATAAAAAAATTAATAGAAAATTTGACGGAGGTCTGACATTGACACAAATTCGTAAGTTGAGGTATGAAATTGTCATTTTAAAAAGATGAGGTATGAAAGTGTCGTGACACCAATAGTTGAGGTAGTTTTTTTGTACTTTACCCTATTTTCTAATATTGCTCCAACATTCTAAAGACAAAAAATTATTATTTGGAACAATCAGAAATATGAATGTATTCAATTTAATAGGGTAGAGATGTAGCGTTAACCCTTTAGAGAGATTCTCTTAAAACTGCGGTAATGATATTTACCTCTCGCTCTTGTCTGGATAGACATGAAGCGGTGCATAGGGTTTGCTTGACTGTAATTTCCTAATGTTATTTGTTTTGTGTTTGATACAAAGAACAAGAGAAACAGAGTGGGAAAACCCTATTTCTCAAGAGTAAGAATTAACTCTAATTTTCTATCATCTAATACCAATGGTTTCATGAGTTTATATAGAACCAAAGTGCTTCTTTCTAAAAAGATGTAACTTTTCATGTATAAGTATACATCATTTATCAAGGGACTGTACCTAAACAATATGACATTTCTACTAAATATAGTTAATACTATTTTTATTCAATTATTATATTTATATTTTACAATATTTTATATTATAATATACAATTTCCAACAAATATATTGAGCGCAAGGACAAGTTTTAAAGAAACTCAACTTATTGTGTAGAGAGATGCTAGCGGTGGAAATGGAGACAACGTCACTTCCCTTTTATAGGTATTGTGAGGGAGGGCAGTTGAACTATCTAGCGAAAAGGAATGAGCCACGTCCTCTTCATGAATGCATCTTACCTTCATATATACAACACTACACGTAAAGGGAGTGTGACCATAATATCAGATACACAGAAGTCCAAAGCCCTTCAAATAGATTGTTCACCACCTTTCTTTTTCTGTTTGTTTTTGGAGTTTCAGAAAATGGGAGTGGAGTCTGTGGAGAGAGAACGCGAAAGCAATGAGGGTACAATCCCAGCTGAGTTCATTAGGTCGGAGAACGAGCAACCGGGAATCACAACCGTTCATGGGAAAGTTTTGGAAGTACCAACAATTGATTTCAGTGACCCTGATGAGGAAAAGCTCATCGTCCAAATTACTGAGGCCAGCTCCAACTGGGGCATGTACCAGATAATGAACCACGACATACCCAGCGAGGTCATAAGTAAATTGCAGGCTGTTGGGAAGGAGTTTTTTGAGCTTCCACAGGAGGAAAAGGAGGCTTATGCTAAGCCTCCGGACTCCGGCTCAATAGAAGGCTATGGGACAAAGCTCTTCAAGGAAATTTCTGAAGGCGACATTACGAAGAAAGGGTGGGTGGACAATCTGTTCAATAAGATTTGGCCTCCATCTGTTATTAATTACCAGTTCTGGCCTAAGAACCCACCTTCTTACAGGTTAGTCACACTTTGTTTTGAGTGCCAATTACCTTTCCTGAGTTTAGGAGGCTAAATCTCTTAAGCAAATCACATAGGCCGTTAGATCAAAATCCAACGGCTACAAATAAGAATCCACTCTAAAAATTATAATAATTGTAGCATCTAACGTACCCGTGTGATTTGCTCAGAAGACTCAGTCTTCTAAGTTCAGAAGAGGATCCAACGTACCCGTGTGATTTGCTCAGAGGATCCTGATCCCTCTTTAAATGTGGTTCACATATATTTTATTCTTTTAGTTTGGGTTTTGTACATTCTTTCTGTGATAATTTTTTCATTTCGTGGTCGATGTTCCTTTTTCCAACGTTATTAATTTTTTTTTTTTTTTTTGACAAATTTTCCAAGGTTATTATATATGAAAACTTAAACATATAATTAAAAACTATGTTACAAGTGGCCCACTATTATAGTAATAAATATATCGTTTGACAAAAAAAATAAAGAATAAAATCTTGGTGTCAAATATGTAATATTAGTGTCACTTAGTTCTCCAGTTTAGTGGTATTCTTTTATACTTGTAAATGAGAGGTCTTACAATTAGTACTCTAAATTCTCATTTGACACTTTAAATTTTTTATAATTAGAAAGAAATATATATTTATCAGAAGTGTATAATGAGACATTTTTTCCTTTTTTTTTTTTTTTTTTTTTGTCAAAGTAGAATGAGATTTTTTATGTTCTAATAACAATTCTAAATATATATAAAATATAATTTAGGATTCGTTTGGAAATACTTTTAAAATGATTTAAGCGTTTTCTTTGAAATTGATTTTGGGTTTTAAGTGCTTTTTGATAGTATCATTAGATATGTGCTTCTTTGAAGAAGTGCATAAAATTGTTTTTTGGAGATCCACTTGGATTTTTATTAAGGATTGATTTTAAAAATTATTTTCACAAAAAATACTTTAGTCATTTTAAAAGCACTTTCATACAAACCCTTATTACTATATTTGAATTGTGATTATATATATTAAGCAACAAGAAAATTTCAATTAAGCAAGAGTCATTGTTCACTGAAATACACCGTGGTCGTTGTCAAAATAATGTATGTATTGTTAATTGTTAGGATAAATTACATTTTATTCCCTTAAGTTCAAAATTATAATCTCGTACAATATCTTTAAAACATTTCAATTTTATACCGTAAAAATTATTTTATTTCAATTTCATATATTTGTCATAATTTCTGTTAAGTTCTCAGTTATCTGCCCATAAAATTTGTCCCAAGCATAAAAGTTAAGAAAATAATAATAATAATATGGTAAAAATATTTTTTTTAAACTTAAAAAAACGAAAAAAAGCAAAATTTCATCTTCTTGAGCAAGTTTCCGGCGCTCATCCTCACCCTCCTTCTCTCTCCTCTCCCCACCCCCTCCGTCTGTCCCCCTTCCTTCACCTTCACCACCAAAACCACAATTGAGAACCCAACTTGAGTCCAAAAACCCCAATCGAAAAGCTTGCCCGAGGTCGACGAAATCACACAGCCTGCAAATCCAGAGCTCCTCCAAAACCTTGAAACCCACCCCACACAAATCCAAATTCCAAATTTCCAATGGAAATTACGAAATTAAGAAAGATATATGGTGATTCTGATTTCTGAATTTCTGATTAATGAGTTGATGGCGATTTCTAAGCCGACAAGCGAGTCAACTCAGTGAGCAAAGCGAAGACGCGAGCAAGCCCACTGTGAACGAGTCGACCATCAAAGGCTACGTGCACGTCATGATTAGCAGTAGTAGTAGATCCATCTGCGGGTCTTCAATTTTTTTTTTCCTTCGAACTCCTGCCTGCCCACATCCCGCTCCAGATTCGTCGATCTCCATCCCAGAAGCCAAAAACTGAAAAATTCCCAAAATTTCCCACACTCAAAACAAAAACAGAGAATCCCACATTTTCTCTCATTTTTCCTCCAACCAAACACATCATGTTATCTTTCCCAAACAATATCTAGAGCCTAATCCACCCATTCCACTTCAAATATAACGCGGATATAGCATCAAAATTATGATATAAAAATGTTTAATCAAATCACTAAAAGGTATAGATGTTTGATCTAAAAAATTCAAAACTGAAGAGCCTATATCAAAAGATTCCTTAAATATTTTTGTAGTTGTTTGGCCATCTGGTTTAAGTTTGGTAGTCACATCAACACAAATGTGAAATTTATTTTTACTATGTTATCACTTAATGGTTAACTTACTTAACAAATTTTTTAACATTTGTATGAAATTAAAGTGAAATAATAGTATATGTATGATACTGAAAAGTTATAAAGATGTTATATGAGGTTACAATTGCATCCAAACTCGAGATGTCCTTCAATAATTCTAACAAATATTCTTTCAACAGTAATAGAGCAAATGGAAATAATTAATAATTAACTATTTAAAATTTGATGGGGTGCAGGGAAGCTAATGAGGAGTATGCTAAGCATATGCACAAGGTGGTGGAAAAGCTATTTAGGCTGCTATCTTTAGGGTTAGGGCTTGAAGGACAAGAGTTAAAGAAGGCTGCCGGTGGTGATAACTTGGAGTACCTTCTCAAAATTAACTACTACCCACCATGTCCTCGCCCTGATCTTGCCCTTGGAGTGGTGGCTCACACCGACATGTCCACCGTCACCATTCTTGTCCCCAACGATGTTCAGGGCCTCCAGGCTTGCAAAGATGGCCGTTGGTACGACGTTAAGTACATCCCTAATGCCCTTGTCATCCACATTGGTGATCAAATGGAGGTACGTATTTATATACTACTTACTGTAACCCACCTAATCATAATATGCATGTTGCTCATTAATACAAAAAAAAAAAAAAAAAAAAAAAAAAAAAAACAAACCTTTAATTAACACTTTTAGCCCGTCATTTAATACTACACTTTAGGATTATTCATTCATTTATAAGTAAGATGTCTTAAATTTAAAAGTAGTAAATAACGAGTTTAATACCGATTTATTCCTCCACTTTTAATGTATAAATATACCTTTTCATCCACATTGGGGATCAAATGGAGGTACGTATTTATAAACTACTTACGGTGACCCACCTAATCATAATATGCATGTTGCTCCTTAATACCCCAAAAAAAAAAAAACAAAAAAAAAAAACACCTTTAATTAACACTTTTAGCCCATCATTTAATACTACACTTTAAGGTTATTCATTTACGTATAAGTAAGACATCTTAAATTTAAATGTCGTAAATGACGAGTTTAATACCGATTTATTCCTCCACTTTTAATGTATAAATATATCATTGTATAGAAAATACACCTTCAATCCATAATCTAAAGAAGTTTTAGGCTGTTTCCCAAAAAAACAAAAAACAAAACAAAGAAGTTTTAGGCTTCTAATTTTAAAACCCAAATAAAATTCATATGCGGAAAACTGCAAGAGTTCCGCAACACCTTTTATAAATACAAGTTAGAAGACCATCACGTATTACAGTGCTCCTACAGTATTGTAGTTAATGGTCTCAAATTTTTGTCATATCCACGCATTTATGAGTCACTCATCAAACTTGAAATTTTTTTTCAATGTGTTCAGAAGACAATTTGGTATACCAAATGTTATAATATAAATGGTTAGAATTTTTTATTTTTTCAAGCATCAAACCACTTATTCCATGATATTTTGTATACTGAGCCTTGTTTTCGGCACAAAGAATAATCTCTATCAAACGTCCTTTTCTAATCACTAAGTCAATTAATTGTGGTGACGTAGATAATGAGCAATGGAAAGTACAAGAGTGTCCTGCACAGGACCACTGTGAACAAGGATAAGACGAGAATCTCATGGCCTGTGTTCTTGGAGCCGCCAGCAGACCACGTCGTCGGTCCTCATCCACAGCTTGTGAACGCCGTTAATCAACCAAAGTACAAGACCAAGAAGTACGGCGACTATGTTTACTGTAAGATTAATAAGCTTCCCCAATAAACAAACACTAAGCACCAGAATAAATAAATATTATGAAGTGGGTGGTTTTGTTTATTTTTCTTTTCCTTGTTTTTTTTTTTTTGTTGGTGAAGTTGTGAGTGGTGTGTACCTCATCAATATGAAATAATTGTTTGAATTTGTGTTCGGGTTCAAACTATTTCTTGACCTTTTAGTGTTAATCAATGTAAGATTTCATTTTTGCCAAAAAAAAATATTCGAATCAAAAGGTGATGAGCGAAATCGTACCTAGTTGTATTTGATTGTGGAAGATGAGATTCGGTTTCAACATTCTTATTCCTCTAATTCACAATATGTTTTTTTATTAAAACCTCATTTGGTGTCTATGATTAGATTAGAATGAATAACCATCATATTGAATAAATGTTGATCGAACAATGAAAATTTTGTATCCAACTTAAAACTAGAAGATGGATTAATTCATTTAGGAAGCTTATCCATTCCAATTTCCTCTCAAATGGTTAGATTAGAAGGACAAGTTTCATTCATATCTAATCCGGTTTTAATGTACTCTAAATGAAAAATCATTTACCTCTACCTCTAGTATTCCTAGGATTATATTAATTGTCCAATCTATTACAATTCTAGACACAATGAAGGTTACCGACTTTCGATGGACGCGGAGCCAACAAGTTCAATCGAACAGCATAACGAGTTTAACGTTACAAAAGCGTTCACTAACTTTGTCAAACAATACCTAAGAAATTGTTTGGGCCCAAAATAATATTGTTGGGCCGAGTGTAGGTTTGTGCTCGGCCCAAAGCCGTGTCAAAATACTATGGGCTGCCTGATGATTCCGGGCCATTTAGCAGGGATGGTCGAGTCATATCGCAAGAATGAGTGGTTTAGATAAGCAAAGAGGGTCGAGGAAGTCCGGGTGCAATTAGGATTCTCGACTAACAATGAATAAAGCCCCGAAGGGGGTGGGTTCAAAATCCTAATGAGAGTAGGGTTGTTTGAAGCAAAGTTGGAACGAAACAAGAACTCCTAATCTAGATAGGAGTTCAATTTGATCTCAAGAAGGAGTTGGTGCCTTAAATACAAGAAATCATGCAACAATTGAAGACCTTCAATTCAACACACAATTGCCCTGCGCAAAACCTCTCAAACAACTTGAGATTTTTATTTTATTTTTCTCGTCGACACACCTTCAGTTTGGATAAACAGCACTGTGGAGGCAACCGACGAACACCTTCAGTTTGGATAAACAGCACTGTTGCCATAGAATCAGCCGACCGAGGAGCACCTTCAGTTTGGATAAACAGCACTATGTCGAGGCCGACTGGTTACCTATCCAAGTCTCGGCCAAGAAGGGTTTTCGAATCCTTGTTGGCAGAGGTCATCTTATTAGCCTTCTCAGCGAAGTAGGTGTCACTAGCTACGACATTCAGTGTACTGGACGCCAAGTGATTTTCTGATTGGATACTCACAAGTGAGTTTCAGAGTTCGGCATTCTGACGGCCGAACCACATTCACCATCAAGACATACATCACCTTTGAATATTTGTGTCTGTATAGTCTGGTGTTGATTCGACATGCTTACACTCTTACGAATATAATCACGGTGACTAAATCGGGCGCCAACGATTTTTGAACTTCGCAGAACTAGCATCCTTGTCTTCAGGCTCTAGAACTCGAAGACCAAGAGTGTTCCTTCCTCGGTCGCAGTTGCAAGGTAAAGAAGTCAGCAATGCGCTCAACGCAACATCAACAAATTTTACTCCTCGGCCGAGCTTGGCCGACGAGTTGGCACGCCCTGCATTCAACCGAAGGACTTAGTTAGCTTATTAGTTGGCTCGGCTTGCGCGCTGCGTAGGTTTTGTAATTTTTAGGGTCAACATTTTGGCATGCCTGGTGGGACCTTGTGCTAGACCTTCGGAGTTCATGACCATTGAGACACGGTCCGTAAAAAAGAGAACAATCATGGGAAAGTCAACAACTGACTTACTAGTGCAAGGCCTTGGGCAGGATTTGCCTCAGGCGAAAAATCCGATCATTGTTGCGCCGCCCAAGGCTACAAGTGCGACACGCCGAGATAATGAAATCTGTCTCGGCGGACAGCCTCGCAACCCAGAAGTTCCCAAAGTTCATCCACCCGTACCCACCTTATGTAGAAAGGTTCAAATACCCTAGAGGCTTCAAGATCCCCGATTTCAGTCTGTTCGTCGGAGAGTCGTCCTTGTCCTTGTTAGAACATGTGGCTCAGTTCACAGCGTAATGTGGAGACGTCAATAGTGACTTCCATAAACTACGGCTATTCAACTTCTCACTGACAAGGTCAGCTTTTTCTTGGTACATTAATCTCCCACCAAACTCCGTCCAGAGTTGGGAGGAATTGGTTGAGAAATTCCATGAATAATTCTATTGACCTAGGTGGAAATGTCCGTTTCATCGTTGGCTAGGATGGCTCAAGCGTCCGATGAATCCCCAATGGAATACCCAACAAGGTTCAAGTCGGCCAGGAATTGGTGCCGAGTACCTTTTCCTGAAGTTGAATTCGTCAGAATCGCCCTAAACGGTTTGGACGTGGAATACAAAAAGAAGTTTCTGGGGGCAAATATTTGAGATATGTACGAACTTGCTCAACACGTTGAGTAGTATAATTATTTGCTTCAAGTGGAAAAAATATCGAAGTCACCATCCCAGGGAACATTATATAAGAATCCCACGATTAGCTATGCATTGGCCGAAAGTGAGGACCCTCAGTATGTCAGTGTGGACGCGACTGAAATAGTGATAATAAATCTTACGTTTGCAAGGCGTTAGCTCAACTTAGTCCCAAAGATGCCAAGACCCGCTCGGCTGCTGAGGAGACGAGTAAAACATCAAAAGTTTACACTTTCGATATCACCAAAGCCGATGCAATTTTCGACTAGTTGTTGTTAGCAAAGATCATCAAACTTCGGCCAGGACACAACATCCCTAAGGCCGAAGAATTGAAGGGCAAAACATATTGCAAGTATCATAATTCAAACAAGCATGCTACCAATAATTGCATTGTGTTCCAAGACGCGATTCAAAATTGGATCAAGAAAGGTAAGCTAAAATTACGGGAGAAACAAATGGCGGTCGACGTCAATCATTTCCCCTCGACAACAATCGGTATGGTGGATACTCATCTCCCTAAAAACAAAGGAAAAGGGAAGGCCGAATACGTCCCGGTGTAGCATGTCCGTAAGCAAAATGGTCAACCAAGATTAAATTGATTTATTTTCAAATGCACCACCTATGGAGCCCTCAGGGCCGGCCATTGATGAACCCACGACAGGTTTTAGTTCTGAAGAAACCATGAATCAATGGTTTTATGCGACCACTGTAAAACACGATTTGAACCTAAAAAGAGGGAATCTTCGGCACTAACTTCAGGCCCACCATCCACGACTGCTACAAAACCGCCAAGTGTTTGAGAGACTAGGCCCACAGGTACAAGCAAAAGACCCAGCACCAGTCAAACGGTGTCTTGACTTTGACACACCATTCTATAATGAAGATTATTACTCACGCAATGCCAGTAGTTTGGGTTCGTCAGTCGATTGAAAAACCTTCAAACCGCCCAGGCCACGAGACCAACGTTAGTATAGTTACAATTCTCCAATTGGCCTATATACAACGTTATCTCAATCTCAAAAATGTCGTCGTTAGCGGATAGATTGCATGGCTCAACAACAAGAAGCGCAGGCCAACTCGGCTACTCGGTGGTAGCCAAAAGACCCTGTAGGAAGCGTTGATGAATGGCCAACCTCGACTATCATAACCGAATTACTTGAAGGAAATAAGGCAGCTGCTCATGACTTTGAAACCACCATTAAAGAGTCCGAGAAACACATCAAGCTCCTTCTTCGGCCTGGGGAGATAAAAGCTCATCTCGAGCATTTTAGACAAGAGGTCGAAAGGAAACTTTCTCCGTTACCACCGTCGGAATCATTAGTCAAAGTACGGCGCAATCTGCACCCTCCATTCGTCGGTGAATCCCTAGAGTACATGCAGGAATTTCATAAGAAATATTCTGCCAATGATTTATACGGACTACCTAAGGCATGTCAGGAAGCCCTCGACCTAGCACTAACTTGCCCTAATGCCGAGCAAATTATCGAAAAAACTTCCGATCCAGCAATGAAAGTTAGGTTCCAGCATATATGTAAGGCTCGGGTCTTTGACTTTGAGGTCGACCCTTACACAGATATCGACATCGCCGAATTACCCTTTTCACTCGAAGACCTTTAGCATTTGCGATATCATTTCGAGGTTTTTCGGCCGTATCTCTTTTCAACCTTACAGCCGATGAGGAAAATCGAGTTGCGCGTTTAGACGCATACCTGGACACAAGGAATGCCCGCATCGCCTACGAAGAACGTGCCCGTAACGTACTACAAAAACGAAATAAATCTTCGGCAGTAATCGCGCTCGAGGAAGATAACGAGGATAAGATAGATTCAGTCCATATGCCTTAGGAGCAGGTTCATACTAAAGCTCTAAATAGTTCAATTGAAAACGTTCCAACGACCGATGCTACGTCTACTAGTCTGGAAGACGACGACCACGACCTGATGGGCTCTTTAGTCATCGAGCATATGAAGTTCAAGATGGTCCATGTCCTACCGACTGAGTTCCAACCAAGCACCCATCAGTCAAATTTCTTGGATGGGGACATTGTTGCCGAAGAAGCAACACAAGTGGATTTGGTCGTTACTGACAACGATGGGGAAGTCAGTAAAGGCGAAAACCTTAAGGCAGCCTTGGCTGAATTGTTTCCCCGTTCCCCCTCGGTTAATCTCCAACATCTAAAGCCGTTATACGTCATGGCTCATATTGAAGGATATCTCATTTCAAAGGTTTTTATCGACTGCGGAGCCACAATCAACATTATGCCAATTTCCGTCATGAAGGCATTATGCCGTTCCAATGATAAGCTTATTCCATCAGGGATAACGATGAGCAGCTTCATTGGCGACAAGTCTCAAACCAAAGAAGTGCTCCTGTTAAAAGTCAGCATTGCTGGTCATCACCACATGACGACATTCTTTATAATTGACTCAAAGACTGGCTATAATGCATTGCTCGGCCGCGATTGGATCCACCAAACCAGTTGCATTCCTTCCTCACTATACCAAGTTCTCATC